GATCACATCAACTTTTTATGACCCAGTGAATTTGTCAATTGGGCACAAATTCGTGGAGCTGTCCAAACAGAAACTAAAGAAACAGCAAAGCCTATTCCAGTTGTGTGATCTTTCCACATGATCTCAGTTCATAATAGACACAAGAAAACACAATGCTAATAATAAAAATATAATTTTATTTAATTATTGAAATATGTGGAAAGATTTCCAACCTTGAAATTTACCTAGTTGGAAAATTTACCATTAGTGAATTTTATTGATGGTGTGATGATGATGACCATTAAGATATTTACCTTAATGATCGGACTTGCTGATGATATTGATGATAAAAGATATGATGAAGTGAAAATTCCACAACTCGATGAATACTAAGTGGAAAATTCAAACTCTCTTGATGGTGATATTAGACATCCCTACTAATGATACTACGTTGTTGAAATTCAATCATCATGATGAAAATATATGGTGAATGATGAATACACCACCAACAAGGTGAAAACTCCAAATATCCAAAAACTATTATTCGGAGTGTTGTTGATGATGTATTTGAATGGTACTATTCGAAGAAAGTTTGGTTGATGATGAAGTACATGTTGAAATATGGTCCATGTAATATTTTGAATATATGCATGTACCTATCTTGATGAAAACAAAATTCCAATCTATGAAATTCGAATATGTATTGCTTTATACTATTACAAATAATCCCACATATGAATTTCTGATGATGATTCACCAACTTTAATTTTTCCAATAACAAAATTACTATCTAATTCCATAACAATAAACTTCCACATAAAATTACTATTATTACTATTATATTGATGATGTATAGATGATGAGGTTCAATTCTTGGAGTGGGAAGATGAAGAACCACTCTGAAAATAAACTACTCATAAAATTGATATTTTTTATGAATGCTAGATACGTCTTTATTGAGTTTGCTGTATGATGAAAGTATAATAAAAATTACTACTGTAACTACTATTTAAATGATGTTGAGATGATGATGTGAAAGTTTGGTAGCTTACAGATATGAAACCACTCAAAGAATCATCAAGTCATTGACTTTATTTTTAGGTCTTCATTAAGTTGATCAGGTGAAACGGTTTCAAGATGCTTTCTTCTCTCACCCAAAGAAGTGATGGTGTTGAAAATAGCATCA